TTGTTTGGGAAACCTTTTGGTGATCAATATAATGGGTATGATAGGATTAGTAGCCTTATCACCAAAAGAGTGTCTGAGAGTCAATATCAAAACCTTGCAAGGGATGTGACTGAGAAAGAGATCATTGATGCATTCAAGTCCCTTAAAGCCAATAAAGCCCCTGGCCCTGATGGGTATTCTGCGGGTTTTTTTCTGAAATCCTGGGATATTGTGGGGAGAGAAGTTGTTGAAGCAATCAAATCGTTCTTTACATCGGGGGAGCTTCTTCAGGAATTAAATAGCACCACCATTGCTTTGATTCCGAAGATCCCCAATGCTGAAAAAGTGGGGGATTTTAGACCTATTTCGTGCTGCAACACTTTGTATAAATGTATTTCGAAGATTATTGCGGATAGGATTAAAATTGTCCTTCATGATCTTATTGATCCTGTCCAATCAGCTTTTGTCCCTGGTAGGAGGATTGCCGATAATATCTTCCTTTCTCAGGAGCTTATGAGGGGCTATCATAAAGCCTCCCCCTCTCCTAGGTGTACCATGAAGGTGGACATTATGAAAAGCTTACGATAATGTTAGATGGGAGTTTGTTCTTGATGTCCTTACCGCGATGGGTTTCCCCCCTAATATTATCCTTTGGATAAAAGCTTGCATGACTAGTCCCACTTACTCCATTTGCATTAATGGGAGCCTGCATGGTTATTTTAGGGGGGAGAGAGGTTTGAGGCAAGGTGACCCTATGTCCCCTTATCTCTTTGTTATTGTCATGGAAATTCTCTCTAGAATTCTGGCTGAGAAGGCTTCTCACCCTGATTTCAAATTCCATTGGAGATGTGAAAAAACTAAGATTGTTAATTTATGTTTTGCTGATGATTTGATGATATTTTGCAAAGGGGATGTGTCTACTGTTCAGTCCATTAAATTGGGATTAGAAGAGTTTAAGAGTTTGTCTGGGCTGTCTCCTAGCCCTAATAAGAGTCACATCTTCTTTTCTGGCTGTGATGTGCAGTTAAGAAATGAGATCCTTGGGGTGTGCAAATTTAGTGAGGGCAAGTTACCTGTGAGATACTTGGGGGTTCCTCTAGTTTCCACTAAACTTAAGGCCATTGACTGTGACCAACTGGTGGAGAGAATTACAAAAAGGGTTAAGAGCTGGACAAATAAGTGCCTCAATTATGCTGGTAGAGCTCAGTTGATCCAATCTGTTTTATTCTCTATGCAAGTTTACTGGACCTCTTTATTCATCCTCCCAAAGAAGGTCATTAGATCTATTGAGAGTTTATTTAGAGCTTTCTTTTGGTCTGGGTGTGAGCTTAAAAAACATGGGGCTAAGGTTTCTTGGGATAGAATTTGCTGCCCTAAGAAGGAAGGGGGGCTGGGTTTTAAGTCCCTCACTGTGTGGAATAAGGCTGCCATTGCTAAACATGTCTGGTTCCTCTTCTCTGGGGGAGAGCAGTCAATGTGGTGTATTTGGGTTAAGTCTTATATTCTGAAAGGTAGGAGTTTTTGGAGAGTTAGGGTGCCAAATGACCCTTCTTGGGTTTGGAGGAAGATCCTCTCTCTTAGACCTATCATCTACCCTCTACTCAAACATAGGGTGGGAAATGGCTCTACGGTCTTTCTGTGGTTTGATAATTGGCACCCTATGGGTTCTTTGTGGGACAAATTTGGTGGTAGAATTGTGTATGATTCTGCTCTTGGTATAGATGCTAAGGTTAGTGAGATTGTGGAGGGTAACTCTTGGAGATGGCCCTTTCCCTCTTCATGGGAGCTTAGGGAGCTTATTGATAATACCCCCCCTACTTTCCTCCCCACTGGAGGTTCTGATGATGTTAGTTGGTGTCCTGCTTCCAATAGCCAATTCACTATCCAGTCTACTTGGCACTATTTGAGGAAACATTTTGATCCTGTGAACTGGTCTACTCTCCTTTGGGGCCCTTATAATATCCCGAAGGTGAGCTTTGTGGTGTGGATGGCTATTCTTGGTAGGTTAAATACTGGGGATAGGTTGCAAAATTTTGGTGTAACCCTATCTGTGAATTGTGTTTTCTGCCAGCATCTTTGTGAGGACCACAATCACCTCTTCTTTGAGTGTCCATTCTCGGAAAGGGTGTGGTCTTATATCAAAGGTCATATAAATGTGAGCTGGCCTTCTATACCTTGGGATGATTTGGTCCAGCTCATTGCTCAATCTGTGAAAGGCAAATCTCTTGGGGCTATCATCACTAAGCTTGCTTTTACATGTACTGTCTACCAGTTGTGGATTGCAAGGAATAACAGAGTGTTTAATAAGGAAATGGTCCCGGAAGAGGTTGTTATAAAGGGCATTGTGGATATGGTTAGGTTCAGGGTAATGCACATTACCAATCTGAAATCTCACCAAACTGACAGTTGGTTTCTCCAATCATGGAGACTTCCCCATACTATGGTGAAGCCTTCGGTAACTGCTGCAAGGAATGAGAGTTCCTAAATTGTGGGTTGAGTGATGGTTAGCAAATATATTGTGGGGTTTCCTAATTGTTTGCTATTGTTTTAGGTACCTGGGTGGCTGGCAAGTTGTTTGTTGAGTGTTTGCCCCATTATCTGAGGGCCGAGTATAGTGTGAGGAATAGATCACCCACCCCAATATCACTAGCCACATTGAGAGAAACTAACATATTTTTATGCAACACCTGTGACTTCTTTCTTTTTTTGCAGGTACAAGGAGCATTATTTTCCGAGTGGTGTGAGTTTATAAATTGTGGGTTGAGTGTAGTGAGCATATATATGTGTGGTGTCCTGAGTAATCTGTCATTGATTCTTGTATATTCTCCTGTTGATGAGCTTTTAATTCTGTTGAGTATTTGCTGGTTGACAGGGTCTACTACAATGTCTAGATACGGTTCGGGTTACATGGTTCGGCAGCAATCTATTTAAGAGGATGCTGCGGTATGGAGGTTTGGTCGATTTGGTTATTAGTTCTGATTCATTGTCTGGAGCAGGCTGGATTTTGCGCAGGTGCAAGAAAGAGGCGTCTTTGAGCTACTATGATGGTGTAGATGGCTGCTATATGCGCCTCTCGTGTGTGAAGAGTGACTTCCATTTATGTTTTGTTTCTTTACTGTGTTGATATTTTGCCTTCCCATGTGGGATGTACATGGGTTTATGTTTCCAACTTTTGCTACTTGCTATCGGGTGTGTTCATATTCCTCATCACATTTTCATGCGGCATATGAACACTCTTTTTGCCTGTCTCTTATTATGTATGGTTACATTAGTTTAGTTTCTGTCTTTTCTTTGTATATAGCTAGCTTTTGTTTTCTTTTGGTTTATTGTATAGTGTTTGGGTTAGGGCCTGGGGTATGCCCCTTGTCTTTGGTGTAAGTTCTTTGTCTTATATTTTATGACTTATCCACCCAAAAAAAAAAAGGGATGGTTTAGGTAGAATAGCTAGTGCTGTGGGTGTTCCACTGTTTATGGATCAACTTACCTCTTCGGGAAAGCCTTTCGGACTTGACAATTGAACACTTAGGTGATTTAGAAAGTCTTAAATGAGGTGTTTAAGTTATAAATTAATATCATTGAACTACAATTACTCAGACAATTCTCTTTGTTAGAGGCTAAGGAAAATTAGTTTGATTTAAACTTGGCCACTTAAGCTGATGAAACAGTTAGTTACCTAAGCTTTAGTTTCTAGAACAAAAGGGAGAAGGAAGAAGATGGACAGAGAAAGATACAGATGATTCTTGAGAGCTTGAAGAGAAAGTTAGAGAAAAGAATGAGAAATAGAAAGGAAAAAAAAACAAAAAAGAATCAAAGGTAATTCAAATTCATCATTTTGGACGTGAGAATTGAACACTAAGGTGATTTAAAAAATATTTAATGGGTTGCTTAAGTTAAACTAACATGATTAAGCTATAGTTACACTAAGGTGATTCAGTTGTTGGTGTGACCAGCCCGTGCGCTGTGTGTGTGTATGGAAGAAGATGTAATGGTGTGGACGCGCCTAGGTGCGGCTAGGCATAGTTACAAGTACAGTCGGTACGTGGGGTGTGTTTTTGGGGCAGAGGGACGCACGCACTGTTTTCCCGCCCACTTTTTTTTTTTGGGTGAATAAGACATAAATAAAAACAAGAAGAATACACATTTACAAGGGGCATGCCCCAGGCCCTAACCAAAAACAAAACAAAAACAACAAAACGAAAAAACAAGAAACAAAAAAAAAAACAAAAAAACCTAGATCAACGCCGACACAAACCCGAACTTACAAAAATGTTCATGTGTCCCATAATAAACATATGGGAAAGATGAACACAATCCATCAGGCTTTGACAACCAAATAGTCAAATAAATAAGAAGCAAAAGGTTCCTCCCATTCTGGACATTTCCAGCGGTCACAGTAAGCAAAGAAACAGAAGCCCAACCCGTGGCTGTCCCATTTATCAGAGAACCTAGGATGCTATCCACAGATATTGGTCCTATGCAAAAGAGGAACCTGTCGAGAGAATACCAAGCACAGCAACCAGGCTTACCAAAGTCCACAATACGAAACCCACAAAACAACAAACCAGAAATGCCGTGCACATCCCGCACGGATAGGCCAAAAGGAATTAAACACAGCAGACCATTTATAATGTCCAGCCGTAATGAGTTAAAATGACAGGAAAGAAGAACACTCATGCTAAACCATGTACAGCCCACACGGTTAGGCCAAAAGGAGTGACAACCAAGCAAAACACTCATAGTCCATACACATTCAAATAAAATAAAAGTAAACGAAAGACAAGTACCCACAAAGGCGCTATAAGCAGCCATCAACATTTGCCAGAAAACACAACCACCCATAGTGCCATCGAACCCAAAACAGTTCATACAGCCCCAACAGAACTCAAACATTTTAGTGTACTCACAGCAACCTGATCTGCCCAGCATAGGAGTTGCGTAACAGCTACATCCTTCAGACGCGTAGCACGTATCCCTATCCAGGCAGCCACCATATTGCTCAAACATTGTAATAGACCCTGTAGAAGAAGTCAGAAGTGAGTATATCCAGTGATACCAAGGACCAATCATAGTAACAGCACACTCAATGTATGATCTCTCAACACTCGGCCCACAGTTTAGGGGCTCACACCACTCGAAATTAGCTTCCTTATCCTGCACATAAAAATTTACAGTATATATAGTCATTAGTAAAAATTTGTTTATGGCTAACATCACTCGACCCACAAGTAATTGGAGAACATATAAAGTAACTTTCATCACTCGACCCTCAAAGATAGATAGATCCACTTGGGACACCCGAGCATACCTGCAAAAGAAAAAAAGTTTAAGTACATAAACTCTCATATAAGCTCACCATCTCTCGACCCACATTTAGTGAACTCACATCACTCAGCAGCCCTCCCATTTCTGATGCTATGGGGCTTCAGAATTGTCTCCGGCAGACTCCATTTGTCTAGAAACCATTTGTCACCATTGGATCTAGGAATATTCTTAAGTGACAGCATTCTATTTCTAACCATTTGGAAGAGTTTACAATATGTGTGTATTATCCTTCTTATTGGATTTTACTGGGCTTTTGTGATTTGGGTTGTGGTTTCTTGTTACTGGCAGGAAATTCTATTATGTCTAGAGAATGTCTGCCATCTTCACGAAACTTTGGACTGCTTTGCTGTGGTGTTGATGCTTATGGAGATGCTGTCCGATGCTCTAGTGTATGCTGCTGCTTACCCGATAGGTGCTGCTACCTGCTGGGTTGATAATTGGGAATTTGGTCTGCTGTTTTTGAGTTACAAATGGCTGTCAAGTGCCGATGGCTGCTGGATGCGCCTCGTTGTCTACAAGCTGTCTTCTTTTATATTACTATCTTTCTTTATGGTGTTTTTAACTTACATTGCACAATATTTTGTTAATCCTACCCTAGTGGGATGTACTAGGTCTTTTGTTGATATGTCTCGGCCTCATGCCATTACTTTAGTTTCTGGATTACACATGATAGACTTTTATGTGCCTCGTTGTCTCAGGTTGTATTCAGCAGTCCGCTAGTTGCTGCTGGTTTGTGGTTTTGAGGGTATGTCATACCCTTTTGTTTTCGCAATGTTCATTTTCCCTATTTTCTTAGATATGGATACTGAACATTGTTTTTGTTTGCTTTTGATGTCTGTTTTGCTGTATAGCTGATTTAGGGCCTGGGGTATTCCCCTTGTAATCTTGTATATTCTTTGTCTTTTATTTATGTCTTATTCACCCTATTCACCCAAAAAATGTCTTATTCACCCAAAAAAAAAAAAATTTGTTTTATAAGCTTAAGTAGCCAAGTTTAACTCAGACTAACCTTGCTTAGCCTCTAAGAAAGAGAATTTTATGTGTAATTGTAGCTTAACAATATTTAAGGTTTTCTAAATCACGTAAGTGTTCAATTCTCAAGTCAAAAATGATGAAGTTGAATTTCCTTTGTTTCTTTTCCTATTTCTCTTTCCTTTCTCTGACACTCTCTTCTAGCTCTCAAGAACAAAGTTTCGCTGTTGCTTTCTCTGTCCTTCTTTCTTTTTTTTCAGATACTAATTAGCTTAGGTAACTAACTGTTTCGTAAGCTTACTAATTGGCCAAGTTTAACTCAAACTAATCTTGCCTAGCCTATAAGAAAGGGAATTTTCTGTGTAACTATAGCTTAATCATGTTAGTTTAACTTAAGCAACCCATTAAATATTTTCTCATTCACCTTAGTGTTCAACTCTCACGTCCAAAATGATGAATTTGAATTCCCTTTGATTCTTTTTTGTTTTTTTTTCCTTTCTATTTCTCATTCTTTCTCTAACTTTCTCTTCTAGCTCTCAAGAAGATAGTCTATCTGTATCTTTCTCTGTCCATCTTCTTCCTTCTCACTTTTGCTCTAGAAACTAATTAGCTTAGGTAACTAACTCTTTCATCAGCTTAAGTGCCCAAGTTTAAATCAAACTAATTTTCCTTAGCCTCTAACGAAGAGAATTGTTTGAGTAATTGTAGTTCAACGATATTAATTTATTACTTAAACACCTCATTTATGGTTTTCTAAATCACCTAAGTGTTCAATTGTCAAGTCCGAAAGGATGAATTGGAATTCCGGTTGATTTTCTTCCAATTTCTCTTTCTTCTCTATGACTTTCTCTTCTTGCTCTGAAGAAGAAAGTTTCTCTGTAACTTCCTCCGTCCCTCTCCTTCCTTCTCTCTTTTGTTCTAAGAACTAATTAGGCTTGGTAAATAATTATTTCATAAGCTTAAGTGACCGAGTTTAACTGAAACTAATCTTGCTGTGCTCTTTCTATTGCTCTTTACTTTTCTTTTTTCCTTTATGTTTTAAATTTTGGCATCTTCTGTTACCCGTGTTGCTTTATCATCAAGGTATTGTGACGAAATTATTTCTTCATCAATGATCAACATGCGTGACAAATTTATTCGTCAACTAAAATTATAAATATGGTACTGAATAATTATTTGGTGACGAAAATGAGAATTTTTGGCGACAAAATGTTGTTTTATTAGTGACAAGAAATTATGACTTTTGAAGACGAAAAATTTCGTCACTTTTACATCTTATTGTGACGAAATTATTTCCTCATCAATGATCAACATGCGTGACAAATTTATTCGTCAACTAAAGTTATAAATATGGTACTGAATAACTATTTGGTGACGAAAATGAGAATTTTTGGCAACAAAATGTTGTTTTATTGGTGACAAAATTATGACTTTTGAAGACGAAAAATTTCGTCATCTTTACATCTTATTGTGACGAAATTATTTCCTCATCAATGATCAACATGCGTGACAAATTTATTCGTCAACTAAAGTTATAAATATGGTACTGAATAATTATTTGGTGACGAAAATGAGAATTTTTGGCGACAAAATGTTGTTTTATTGGTGACAAAAAATTATGACTATTGAAGACGAAAAATTTCGTCACCTTTACATCTTATTGTGACGAAATTATTTCCCCATCAATGATCAACATGCATGACAAATTTATTCGTCAACTAAAGTTATAAATGTGGTACTGAATAATTATTTGGTGACGAAAATGAGAATTTTTGGCGACAAAATGTTGTTTTTATTGGTGACAAAAAATTATGACTATTGAAGACGAAAAATTTCGTCACCTTTACATCTTATTGTGACGAAATTATTTCCTCATCAATGATCAACATGCGTGACAAATTTATTCGTCAACTAAAGTTATAAATATGGTACTGAATAACTATTTGGTGACGAAAATAAGATTTTTTGGCGACAAAATGTTGTTTTATTTTTATGTTTTTATTTTTTTTTATTGACTAAAATATTAAAAAAAAATGTTGTTTTATTAGTAACAAAAAAATTCGTCACTGAAGTAATTTCATTGGTGACGAAATTATTTTTCGTCATGGTGGTTTTTAGTGACAAGCATTCAATGACGAAACTAGTGACGAAAATATTTCCTCACAAATATCTATAGTGACGAAATTAGCTCTTTGGAGACAAAAAAATTTCTTCATTCAAGACCCAACTTCTTGTAGTGTGTGAAAGTAAAAACACATTCTTTTCAATCATGAAAGAGTGTCATGTAAGAGTGTAGTATTCTCAGTGTTTTTTTTGAACTTAGAAAGTTTGTGTAAAATCTGTTGAGGATTGCTCCATCTGTGAAAAGGTTGCTAGCACCCTGTAAAGCTAGAGAGTAGTGGAAAATCTCAAGTGAAGCTTGAGGAGTGGACGTAGGCCGAGTTGAAGTTGAACCACTATAAATTTGTTTGCCTCTCTCTCCCTTATCTCTTTATTTTATTTAAATTGCCATAGCTATATCACCTTTTTTTTGAAGACCACAATCACCTTTTTTTTGAATGTCCATTTTCGGAAAAAGTGTGGTCTTGTATTAAAGGTAAAATAAATGTTGATTGGCCATCCCTCCTTTGGGATGATTTGGTCCAGATTATTGCTAAATCTGTGAAAGGGAAATCCCTGGGGGCTATTATTACCAAGCTTGCCTTTACTTGTACTGTGTACCAGTTATGGGTTGCTAGGAATAATAGAGTGTTTAGTAAAGATATGGTCCCTGAAGAGGTTGTTATTAAGTGTATTGTGGATATGGTTAGGTTCAGGGTAATGCATATAACCAATTTGAAGACTAACCATAATGACAGCTGGTATCTTAGTTCATGGAAACTGCCTCGTACTATGTTGAAGCATGCTGCTGCTGATGTGAGGATTGAGAGTTCACTAAATGTGGGTTGAGTGAAGGTTAGCAAATAAATTGTGGGGTTTCCTAATGTTTGCTATTCATATAGGTGCTTGGAGTCCTGGAAAACTGATGGATGAGTGTACACCAACCAGTCTGAGGGTTGAGTTTCGTGTGAGGAATAAACACTCCATAACCCCCAACTTACTAGCCACATTGAGAGGAACTAACATGCTTATATATATCACTGTACTTTTTTCTTTTGCAGGTATATGGAGCTGTTTCCCGAGTGATGTGAGCATAGATACTTGTGGGTTGAGTGTAGTGAGCAATTATATGTGTGATGTTAACTGCTTCAGATTTCTGAGTTTTGCAAAGTCCTCTACTGTTGGTTACTTAATTCTGTTTGGTCCTTGCTGCATTACAGGGTCTACTATGATGTGTAGAATCTGTCCGGGTCACATGTGCTGTCTTGTTCTTCCTGTGTTGCTGGCTGGATTTGCATGTGTTGATGGCTGCTTGTGTCGATGGCTAGATCTGCCTGTGTTGATGGCTGGGTCTGCCTATCTTGTTCTTTTCAGTTCGGTGTGTCTCGTGGCTTGAAGCTGGACCTGCCTGTGTTGATGGCTGCTATATGCGCCTCGTGTGTGAAGTTTGATTTTCTATTATGTTTGTTTACATTAGAATCTGTTGGTGTTTTGCCTACCCGTGTGGGATGTACACGGGTGTATATGACATATAGATTTCATCTGACTTTTTGCTGCCTGTGATCAGTGTGTTCATGCTCCTCATTTTTCATGCAGCACATGAACACATTTTGGCTATTTCTATTATGTATGGTTTATTTAGGTTAGGACGTATTTCATTTATTTTGTCCAGATAGTTCTGTTCTGTTTCGTCAGTTTTTCTGGGTAATTCTGGAATGGCTTAGTTTTTGTTTTTTCTTTCTCTGGTTTCCTGTATAGTGTTTTGGTTAGGGCCCCTTGTCGTGGTGTAAGTTTTTTGTCTTTTATTTTATGACTTATCCACCCAAAAAAGCTATATTTCATACTTTTATTCTGCTAAAATCATTAATTAACATAGTTGTTAGAACACTTGTTTTAATTATTTTATTTTATTAACTATATTTATCTATTGTGCTAGTCATAATTTTTATTAGGGTATTATTATTTTTATTTGTAAAAACCTAATTCATCTCCCCTTTTAAGTTGTCTTTTGGGTAACATATATTAATTGATAATTAATAATTTTAGTATTAATTGATACTAATTGACACTAATTCATTTATAATGAAAAAATTAAATAATTTTATACTAATTGATACTATTAATGAAAATAATAATTTTTGTAATACTAATTATATTAACTTTTATTAATGTAATAGTTTTTTTAAAAAAATTAAAACTGAAAAAAAAAATGACAAAATAATCACTTTTATATCATATAAAGGCAAAAATGACAATTACACAACAAAAAGTATTTTACAACTTATCAACTAAATTCTACTCTGCTAGCATGTTAACAGCTTATGTTCACAGTTATAAGTTATAATTTGTTAAGTTATAATCCATATTACTTACCCAAAAAGTTATAATCCATAATTACTTTTTCACAGTTCTACAAAACGGGCCAAATGACACATTAAATAGAATAATGATATATGCATTAATTAATTTACATATCTATGACAAGATGAAATTAGCACATTAAATGTGCTATTATTTAATACGGTAGTGTTACATGCATCAATTAGTGTACTAACTAGTGTACCAATATTAATTATGACATTATTATTGACTCCACTCATTATACAAATTATAAATACTAAAAGAATAATGTTATATGCACCAATTAGTGTACTAACTAGTATACCAATATTAGTTATGACATTATTATTGACCACACTCATTAATCACATTACAAATACCAAAGGCCTCTTAAAATTATGCAACATCATCAATTGGTATACTAGTATTTATTCTTTTAGTATTTATAATTTGTATAATGAGTGGAGTCAATAATAATGTCATAATTAATATTGGTACACTAGTTAGTACACTAATTGATGCATGTAACACTACCGTATTAAATAATAGCACATTTAATGTGCTAATTTCATCTTGTCATAGATATGTAATTTGAAATATTTTCATATGTTAAATTTATCCAAGGGATAGAATGGAGGATACAAAAAATTATATTTTGATTTGTTTCTTTAGGTACCTTATTACTATATGGTCTTTATCTTTATCTTATTGTGTAGGTGAAAATCTGACCACACTGCAATCTTAGTATCCAAGCTGGAGAGTACCAGCAGAATAGATGGCACCTGACTAACCTGCAACAGAAAGAGAAGACTCCGGTGGTGGTTCGCCACCCGAGGGTACTCCGACGATCAAGTCAGAACTCAATATCTCTCAAAGATAATCAATAGTGCTAAACTCATAAGCTTGAGCATAAAAAGACATACCTTAGACCCATGGGGGTATCTCTCTTTTATAGCCAACTCAATCCTAGTCCCAATGGAAGCCTAACTCCAATGGACTCAGGATTACTGCTAATCTTGGACTCCCAAAAGGATCAGGATAAGCTCTCTAAGGGTCTCATCTTTACCCAAACTAAAGTCTCCTCCCATTCTAGGACTTTTGTTCTTTATCTTCTTATCTCGGATTCCGGTATTCTCGTTGATAACCTCGGCCTAAATATTGAATTAGGTCGTGGTTGTTTTTGCTCACTTTTGGGCCACGCTAATGGTTTTGTTGAGTAATCAATGGAGCCCATTGGAATTTTGGGTTCATAATTGGGTTATTTTGGAAATTTTTGTTTAACCTCATTGAGCGGATCTTTTATAGTTGATGATTTTATGGTGATTGATCGTGTGATCCTCATGTGACTCGATAATGAGGGTGATTTTGAGCCATCTCCGCCAAGAGTGATTGGGGAGTCATTGCTATGGGGAATAGTGGGTTTAATAATCAGCCGAGTTAGAGACTGGGAGATAGCGGGAGGATAGCTACCGGTTTTCTGGTCGCTTCTTGTCTTCATGTGACCCGTCCTAATTGATCGTATTGCCACGCCTGACATGGAGTGCTGGTCACACTGCCGTGGGGTTTGAGGCTTGTGATCTACCAAGGAAGGGACTGGGGGATGTGACGATTGATTTCAATGATTTTTTTGGCTGTGTATTGGTTTGTTGCTGAGGTGGTATTGTCTTTTACTTCAACTCCCTAGTCCGTGGCATTGGTTTTTGATCGTGCTAGCTTCATGTGACTTTGCTGGGATTTCTCTTGGGATATAATCTTTTCCTCCGTCCCGGCTTGGTTAAGTGGCTTGGATGTCACGGCTGTGAGGAGTGGGACGCTTACTGGATTCCATGTTTTTCTACAGTAAAGACTGGGGGCTTGTGGGGTTGATCATCATCTTTGTTTCGGCTTGAGGGTTGTTGTTTTGCTAGTGTGTGTGTTTTGTTTCTTAACTTTGTGATATTTTTGTATTTCTTTGGCCCATATATCACCTCGAGTTTCCCTTCTATTATCTCTGATGTAGGGGTTACTTGAGGACAAAAGGATATATGGGCAAAGTTGGGTTATTGTGTTTTTAGTTTCTTGTTTACGCCCTTTCTTAGGGGGTGTAGTGGTAGTTTGTTGGTATATATGTTTTTTATTATTATTTGTTGTTTGGGCGTGCCTGGGGTATGCCCCTTGTAAACTTGTAAATTTCATTGTTTATTTTATGACTTACTTACCCAAAAAAAAAGTTTTACAAGCAGAGTTAAACCGAGATGTATTTTAACGCTTATTGAAACTTGAGAAAAGTTTACAAGCAGAGTTAAACCGAGATAATGTTTAACACTTGTTGAAATTTGAGAAAAATTTACAAGTCAAGACAAGGTTGTACTGAAAGAAGTATCTACATACTTGCCGAGATTACGATGTTGCCAGGACTTGGAAGATAATGAAAGACAGAAGTCTTAAGAAGTAAAAGAAAAGTGTCGAATTTTTTAGCAACACTTGTGAAAACATTTGTTACAATGTTTTCAGTATTAAACCGAGGCTGAGATAAACCGATTAGTGGGTACAAAGAGGTGTTACACCCCGAGGAGATTACACAGTTAAGGTGTAAATCGAAGATATGCAAATTTATTTTTCCATACAAGAGTAAAAAGAAGAACACATCGGCTAGAAAGGATCTGTGACTGCGGCATGAAGCCAACTTCCATAATGTGATCCTAAGTGCAACTTATGTTCACATTAGTGGGCAAGGAGAAGGAATGATAATGTTACCACTTGTTGAATTTTAAACAATTTACAAGTTGAAATAGTTGAAGATTACGAAGTCTACCACTTGTTGAAATTTTTTAAGCAATTACAAGTTTGGTATAGCCGAGATCACACTAAAAGACATTTTCCGAGATATGATCATCCGAGATGACCAACTAGGCTTGTTAAAAGCTTAGAAGGTTGGAAAAAGTGAAGCATGCATAAAAGAAGGCAAGTACAAATGAGGAAGCAACACTTGAATACCTCTGTTAAAGAATATACTTGTAGAAATAAAGTACCGAGGTTATGTTAGTCCGAGGTGTCTACCCAATGATAATTCCGAAGTGATACTTATCCGAGGTGTACTACCCCGAAGTGATTTTCAGGTATATTTTGAAAAAAGTTTGAAAAATTCTAAAAGTATGGGAAAAGCATACAGGCAGTAAGCAGAAGAAAGCAATTCAATATACTCAGAAAAATACAAACATGCATTAAAAGAAGCATTTCAACCTAGTAAAGTGATTTCTTGTTCAAATACAAAGCAGTGGCGCATCGGCGAACAACAGACATTGTTCAGAAGCAAAGAAGTTACATATGCAAAGACAACAAAAGTACAAAGATGAAGACCCTAAGAACTAGGGACTAAAGCAAGAACGTCGGACTGATCTGCTTCGACGATTGGCGGCAGTTCAGCTTCGGCAGTCAGTTGGGGAAGCTTCTCTACTGTTTTCTCAACATCTATTTCAAGAAGGGACGTGGTTTCTAGGACTATGCAGAAAACAGAAACGAGGGCAAGA